CCTCATTTGGGGATTTTGGCCTTCAGAAGGGGCCAGAATAAATTCCTTTTGTTTTACGGCACCTGGAGTTTGGTACTTTGTTACAGTGGCCAGAGGACACCAGTACAGCTGTGAGGGTCACAACACGGGAGCTCAGCCCTTCAGAGCAGACAAGCGCCTAAGCGCTCAGGGATAAGAATGTCACAAAGTGACCCACAGAGGCCTTGGGACCCTGCTTCAGAGGGCAGCCAGCCACTGGGAAGGGCTCCCCATGGAGGCCACAGCCAAGAGACCCAGAGGACAAGAAGGACTTCACCAGGCAAACAAAATGGGGACGGGATCTTGTCCAGAACACGGATCTAGCCTTCCCCAGAGGTCCCTGGCACCCTGGGTTTGAGAGGGGAGCCCCACATCCACCCTGTGCTGAGCCTGGCCCCATAATGACCCTCCTTCCCCAGGAACGACCTCCCCGGGCTCCACCCTCGTGCCCCCACACCCACTGCTGTCTCTGGATCCGTCCCTCCTGGTTCCCTGAGCCTGCAAAATCTGGGATGTCCCCACACACCGGTGCTCAAGCAGATGGGCCCTTCATCATCTGCTCACTTTATGCTCCTCCAGTGACTCGAGAAAGGTCCTGGTAATTGATAATGACACCCTGCACAAAAGCAGCGGCTGGCGAGCCCCATGGGGCACGAAGGCACGGAGACATCATGCACGGGGCAGCCTGCCCTGCCCAGGTGCAGCAGGTGAGGCATGGAGCTAAGCAGGGAGAGAAATTCAGCCAAACCAGCAGCACAGGGGCACAGAGCCAGCTGCTGACCTGCTGCAGAAGCTTAGACTCTTGAAAGTTAATAAGAACATACTGGAACAATGTGTAGGCAAGAGCATGCCGCCTCCACCAAAGCGCACGGGCTGCCACGCAGGAGGCAAGTTTTGGCTCAGTTGGACCATGCTCCCAGGGGTGAGCTATGCCAGGGTGAGGGTGGGGGGTGAGCTCCCTGTCACAGGAGGCATGCAATAAGCTGATGCCGGCATCACACCAGCAGTCACACCAGAAAACTCCCCAGGTCCAGCGCCACTCTGAGGTTCGAATGCACCCAAACCCTCACCTTAGGCCCACAGACAACTGATCACTTTGCTTAAAGTGCTTCTAGCCACTGCCATGGCTAAGGAGAGAGAATTCAAATTGGATGTTCAGCTTTTAGGACACTAGCACCAAGACAAAACACTAAACATACACATGCACCCGTGCACGCACACACTTAACAGAGGCACCCACATGAGCATCCCAGGAACATTCCACGTGAGCACAGAGCATGGAGCATGCACCACCTCTGTGCACGTCGCCTTGTGCTCCAACATGCCCATACAGGTGCCCATCCCTCCACCAGGAGCACCCTCACCCCACGGGAGGTCACTTGACCTTTGACTCCTGCCAAGTGCAGCTCAAAGGTCGCTCATCAGAGAAATACACAGGTCCTCCATGGGGTTAGCGGCTGCTCTGCTTGGCTCTACGCTCTGCCAGTTAATCAGGGCAGCACCTGCCACCCTGTGAGGTGTGGTGGGGACTCCGCAGGCACTTAATAGATGCGGGCCGAGTGCTGCCTCTTGATCCAGGAGCTCATTCCCCAGGCGTGGCGTTTACTTCATGGAAACTCACCAAGCTGCCCACTTACGACAGGGACCTTTTTCTTTACATATCGATACTTCAGTAAGACGTTTACTCAAAAGAAACAATTCCAGCTTTAAATTTTAAAATTCCAGAGCTGTATTCACTCAAACACACAAAGCCCCAGGCCTGCAGAAGGTGGACGGCTCAGTGAGAACACCAGCACGGCGCAGGATGAAATGTCCAGAGGAGAAAGGACAGGTAGATCCAGCCGGGACACCCAGCCTGACTCCGGGTCTGCACCGAGCACCCGCTCCTGGTTCAGCCAGAAAGCGCACGAGACCGCTTGTGGGGGTGCAAGGCTGTCCCCAACTGAGATCCTCGTCCCCACAGTTCCAGAGACTCCACTTCAAGTCCGCCGATCCCACCCGAGGCAGCCACGATACCAGGCAGTCCAGACAGGTCAGTCCCTCCCGGGGTTTCCCTCCAGGGATTGGCAGGCTCAATCCATACTCGTGGAAATGTGTGAATCTTTTCTGAGCCAGTCACTCCATTTGCTCCAAGGCGTCCTGACGGTCCTCGGAACCCGTGAGCCCATTCCGCTCGGGGCACCGGCGGCGGTGGGGGCTGCGGCCGTGCGCTCGCCACGTGAGCAGGAGTGGGAATACCTGCGCCCGCAGGCCCCTGCTGCTCCCCTGCAATTTCAAGGTCTGTGTGCTAAGGCATCCCTGTCACATCGATGAGCAACCGCAGCACAGAGACTTGTGTTTCTCGGAGCTCTTTAATCCCAGGGCGGGTCTTGATCCAAGGGCACAGCGGTAGCCAGCATCTCCTGAGGGCACGGTGTGCTTCACGTGCGTATCGTTTAATTGCACACCAAGAGGAGCGTACAACTGTGCTTCACACTTTACAAGCGACGTGCCCAGTCCCAAGGGTGCCGGTGAGACAGGTCCCAGGGCGGCTCTCCTCCCAGGGCGTAGCCCCTGAGAGTCACATTCCGCTGTAACCACCTCGAGCTCCCCCTCCCCGACACACACACAGCCATCTAATGGCTCTGAAACGAAGTCACTCGTCATTAGGACCAGCAGCCGCAAAGCAAGGCACGCACACACCCTGCACCATCTCTCTGATCTGGCAGACCCGCCCCGAGGCCACATAAACCCAGAACGAAGTGCACCCACTTCAGGGGCTAGAATTCTGGAACCACGAACACCTCGTTCAGCCTCTGCCGGGGTGGCCCACCTACGACAACCTAACTCAGGTGTTCAAAGCTTAGGACAAAGTTCTCAGCTATTCACAAACCCACTGTGGTGGGGCTGTGTGGGATGATCAAGTCCAAACTTCCGCTGTAGATCTAGACAAGCGCTGCAGGCGGCTGGCCTGGCCAACCTCCTTACTCACAGGGTGGGCACCGGAAGGGCCAGCCAGGCCCAGAGGAGGCCTGGACACAGCTCAGAAACCAGCGACAGCTGAGAGGACGGAGCAGGACACAAGGGCAGCACAGGGAGCAGCCCCCATTCGGGCCCCAGGATGAGGCAGCCCCGCAGCTCCCTGCAGGAGGAGCTGGCTCTTGCCACATGCTTGCTTAACGAGAACAGCTTGTGACAGGGCAGGGTCTTGTCACCTGGCACAGCCCAGAAGCACCTGGACAGTGACCACAAAGACTGTGTCCTAGGGGAGGGGTCTCAGAGCCTGCCATGAGCTGACACTGTGCTGCAGGGAGGGCCATTAGCAGAGGCAGAATCAGATTCAGAGAGGTTAAGTAATCTGCTCAAGGTCATCCAGCGAGGACTCAAACTCAGGTGTGTCTGACGCCAAAGTCTGCGCTCTCCCAGGGTCCGGCTCAGGCCTGGCTCCAGACACAGGGAGCCCCAGACTTGAAGGCCTCTCTGTGGCCCGGGGCCCTCTGTTGGGGTTTGCAAGGACCGTGTGTTGGCACCTGTGTCTTTTGAGTGCAAATCCCAAACCTAGTGGAGACCAGGGAACAAGACAGGCCCAGGGAAAGCAAGGAGCCCTCTGCCCTGCTCCTGGGGCACGCCGCACACAGTATCTACCTCGCTGAGGCGGGCATCCTCTGCGGGTAACACCCACAGCCAGATCAACCCCGGAGTTTCCATCATGACAGGGTCAGAGCTTTCAGTGATTGGTAGAGCAAGTTAATTCTCCAAGCACAAAGCCTGTTTTCACGCAAACACTCCACGGGGATCTTCTGGGATCACCGAGCATGGCTACCTGGTTGGGGGCAAGTTTTTCAAAATGCAGGGGCAGGTTTAGGGGCTGATGGCTCTGCCCTTCAGGCACCTTCTCGCTCCGCCCAGACACACGAGGGTGGGACTCTCCAGGTTACAGAGGCAAGAGATAAGGACCCAGAGGCCAGTCCTCCTCTTCCTCAGCAGCGGTGGTTTTCCCCGGTGGGGACAATCCAACCCAAGAGGGGGTCCCTGGGACTCAGGCCAACTCAGAGCAGGGACTTGAAAGCAGCACTGGCCCTGGACAGCAGGCCACTTACAGAAGTCACGTCCCACTTTCGGGCGGGGTGGGGCGGGAGCCATCTGCCAAGGCCCATTCAGTGGGAAGGGACCTCTTCACCTCCACGGCGTCTTGGGATTTGCTGCAGAAACTAATTGCCTCGAAGCATAAATATCACGGTCCAGGATAGGGGTGGGAGGAGGGGCAGTGAAGCCCCCACAGACCCCCCTGGATGGGGAGGGGACAAAGCCAAGCCCAGCTGCTCCAAGCCCACCCACCCACCATTCCCAGGCAGAGGCAGCCCCGGCAGAGGCAGGGCTTTCAGATGTGGACATCTGGGCCCACGGAAATCTCTAAGCCTATGATCCCCCCTCTCTAAAAATAGCAACTGCCGCCTCAGGACTTGCAGGCCAGCCACCCCCAGACTCACCTGGACCCCCGCCACCCCACAACATACACACATACTCCCTGTACTTCCCAGGAGGTGCCATGAGATTCCCTTCTGGAGACCCCCCCAACAGAGACCATCCCAGACCATCTGCAGTCCCCATTATATCCCCATAAGCACCTGGGGGTCAGCGGGGTGAACCCCATGGAAAAATGAGGGAACGGCAGCCCCATTAGTGGAAGTGACTGCCCAAGGCCATATGGGTGGAGGTGACGAGTCGGGACCTGAACCTGGGGCTCTCCTGCTCCTCCCCGGCTGCCACCACATCCCCCGAGCTTTCAAGCCACCTGGGGAGCTCTGGCTCCCGACCTTCCCGGGATGGGCCTCAGACACAGAATGGAGGACCAGCCCCCTCGCCCCCCGCCGCAGAAGGAGATTCAGAGCACCACAGTGACCCTGCTCCACACAGATGTGAAGCCGCGTTCCCCGCCGCAGAGGTCAGCTGAAGGGCAGACCAGCCCAAGTGAGCCCCCACCGCACAGGCCTCCCGCCCACCGCATTCCCAGCCCGGCAGGCGGCCGGCGGCAGGCGGCAGGCGTGAGGACCAGCGGATGAGGACGGTGCTGGAAGTTCAGCCCCAGAGGGAGCACGGTCAGACCTGGGTCTAACCTCGGGCTCTGGCTCTGTCACCTGCAGGCCGTGTGACCCAGCACAGGGCTCAACCCCTCTGCAAGCTGCCGTCTCCCCTGGGACAGGTGAGCACGTCACACAGCACCCCAGAAACAGACATGGGCGAGACGCCTCCAATAAGGCAGAGCAGCCTCCAGCACCTGCCGGGCCCCTCGCTGCAGGACGAACTTCCGGGGACTCAGCAGCAGCCACATGTATATTCTCCAGCCTTGAGAAGGAAGGAAACCCTGACACATGCTACAACCTGGATGAGCCTTGAGGACGTTGTGCCAAGAGAAACGAGCCAGTCACAACAGGACAACGCCTGTAGAATTCCACTTATGTGAGGCACTGAGAGTTGTCAAAATCACAGTGAAGGAAAGCAGAATGTGGGTGCCAGGGGCCGGGGCAGGGGCTGGGGAGCTGGTGTTTCATGGGGACAGAGTTCCAGTGTGGGAAGATGAGAAAGTTCTGGAGCTGGAGGCTGGTGGTGGCTGCACAACAGTGTGAATGTGCCACTGAGCTGTGCACATAAACACGGTTAAGATGGTGAATTTCATGCTATGTGTGTTTTACCACAATCCAAACAAAAAAGCAGCCATGTGTGGGGACACACACACCTGTACCTTCCAGGGTGTCGACTCTTTTCAATTGAAGGCCAGGGACCCGGGTCCGTCCTCTCCTAACAGGGTTGGGTAGGCTCACACATGGCTGTCCCACACCTCAGGCCCTGGGGCACCCCGGGCAGTTTCTATAAAAACTGCTGTGTCTGAGAGGTGAGTCAGTTCACAGATGGACACAGCTCCAGGAAGGGCTGTTCTGGCTCTGACATTTCCTAGTCCCAGCCTCCCTGTGGGCAAGATGACACTGCCATCCCCCACAGAGTGTCAGAGCGAAACAAACGCCCGGGCTTTTACCCCAATGAGTACTGTAAGCCTGAGCTAACTGATTTGTTCCAAAGGGCATCGTCCCACCGGCTAGCTGCAAGATACTTAACATTTAATTTCCAGATCTGGAGAGGCTGCCATTAGCAAGATTAATTGTATGCACACACAATTCAATTTTCTCTCCCTCTGCAGAAACAAAAGAGACACCTCATGCAATTAAAGGACGCGGGTGCTGGCAGGATGGCTAATCATTCGGGAAGGAGACACAAAAACGGCACCCCCTGCCAGGCACCACGTGGCAGCCAAGTCCCAGAATCCCAGGGGAAACCTCACTTCTGACACTCCCTCCGTTGAGATGGGGCAGCCTGAGGCAGGACAAGGAAACAGAAGGGACCTGGACGCAGAGCTGGAAGGGACCTCGGCGATCATCTACTCTGCTGCCTCCATTTGGGAAACTGAGGCCCAGAGAAGTAAAGCCTTCCCCGAGGTCACTCATAGAAAACCACAGACGAGGGGGCCAGAAAGGCCTGGAATGATGTGACCACGGACAAGGTGCCTCCAAGGAAACGAGAATAATTACAGCACCCACCTTAGGGGGTGCTGAGGAGCAGGGGCTCAGGGGTGTGAGGCTAGAACAGGCCTGCGCATGTGTGCGGAGAGAACGTGGTGATTCGGGGCATGCCCTGCCGCTCTGCAGACTCCAGCCTGACGCCTCCTGAGAATACACCCGGGCTTAAGACGGATGAATGGAGGTGTCGGGGCACGCAGTGTCTGCGGCTGGCTGCTCCCTTCTCTCCCCAGTGCCATCCTGGAATGGTTCCAGCTGTGGGTCGGACACACACAACCCCACACACACAACCCCGCACCCATGCACAGCTGGAAAGACAAAGGGAGGCTCCGGAAGGCGCTGGGTCCTGTGCCTGGTGGGGGCACAGGGCTTTCCTTTGGGGCAGGCAAGGTAGCCCTCGCTCCTGTACTCTGAATGCACAAACAGATAAGGCGGCCCAGAGCCTCAGAACCTGCTTCCACAAATGACGACGGCGCCATGAGACCTCCCCGCGGCATCAGGACACGGCTATTTGTTTCTAAAACATTTCATCTAGAAATATTTATTTATTTTCTTCTCTGTCCCCAGTTAAACCATAACAGGCTTTCCTGATGTGACGGTGTTTTATTAATGTTTCAGTTGTTAATATTGACACAAGGCTGGGGACTCCGCAGCCTCCACAGAGGAAGAGCTCCAGGCTGGAATATAAGTATTTTCCATGAATAATACAGGACTCCACAGGGCCACTCCTGGGACAACCCCACGAATTATTATCTCTGCAGTGGAAGGAGCCACCATCCCGCTGGGGAGATGAGCTGTGGATTTCACAGCATTTGGGTGCAATCAGGAGGCCGTGGTGCTAGGAGGGTGACCCTCAGGGGCTGAGGAGGTGCTCAGGCAGGAGCGGTGGGCAGTGCGGATTGGGCCACCTGCCGTGTCCACGGGGCACCCTGTGCCGCGGTTCTAGGGGGTGACACCAGGAGGAAAAGGCTAAGAGCCCAGCAGCGGTTCCTTCTATGCAGTCAGAGCTCAGCTCTGTTGCAACCCCCTAAAGCATGTCTGCCTCAGTCTCCCCATATGTAATAAAGGGGCTGGTGGGCCCACCTCCCACAAGTCATGGGGATTCCAAGAGTAACCACTGCCACCAGCCCAGCCACGTGAACAGACTAGTTTCCCAGCCGGTGACCAGAGATCTTCCCTACAGAGAAGCAGAGAAGAAACCACTCAAGAGAAAGCAGGGACAGGGGATTCCCGGGGGCCGGGGCGGGGCAGGGAAGGCATGCCTCTCCCCAGCTGGGGCAGAGGCCACCAGCCCCGTCCCCAGCCTCCTTCTCCCCTTCCTCCATAGGGATGAATTCTGATGGCAGGGGCGGCCGGCTGAAGACAGCGTGCCCATCCTCCCTGGCAGCAGACGTGCCTCCAAACCTCATTCTGGACGGCTGGATAAGAAAGGAAAGGTCACGAGGAAGGGCGTGCTCCTAACAGGAGAGAACTGTGTCCCTCTTCTCTCCTGACGCACAGAACACAGATGAGATGGCAGGAGCCGAGCAGCCATCCCGGGTCATGAGACAGATGCCGCATGCTAGGGTGGCCGAGCACAGAGATGCTCAGAGCCTGGGCCACGGTGGCAGTGGCGCTGCTCTGGACTTGGAGGACACTCATCTGTCCTGCGCAGCCGCTTTTCCTCGGGACCTCCTGTTTCCCAGCCAAACCCACCTCACCCCCAGCCACTGGTCCTGCCAAGCCAGCAAAGACCCAACAAACAAAAATACTTGCGAGCTCTTTATGTCAACTTAGGCATTGTTCTGGTCTGAAGAGGGGAAGTTCAAATGAAACGAGAGAGACTAGTTTTTTAAAAAAGTTAAAAAAAGAAATGCCTTTTCTCTCCAAGGCTCTTATGGGGAGAACCAGGATGTGCTCAAAGTGGCTGAAAGTAAGCAGAGGCTCTCGGGGGCAGAGGGATTCAGTGGATCCTGGGCAGGGGCAGGCTCACGCTCAGGTGCAAGGAGCTCATGAGGGCCCAGGGCACTCATGCCGCCCTCAGGGGCATGGGCTCTGGCCTCAGCTTCCCCTCCCTTGCCCCAGTCCTCAGCTGCTCACCCACCCACTGCCAGCCTCACCTCTTGACTGGACTCCTCTGTCCACTCAATGCCCGGCAGGCCCAGCCGCCAGCCTCCTGCCCAGCCTCCACACTCCAGCCAGCACCATGAGCGCCCCCAGCCCAAAGCCCCAGGAGAGGCATCAGCTGTGCTCCACTCGTCATGTGGACGCAGGTTACAGGCCACTGGGCACCAACCAGCCTCAGGAGTGGATTGTCCTAAATCTGGGCCCACCCTGGCCCAGACAGCTGTGGCCACGCCAGGCCCAAGGCTGGTTAGGGCAGGAATGTCTGACCCGGAACCCAAGACCCAAAATCAGGAGCCGAGAGCCGGAGCAGAAGCCAAAGAAAGAGGCGGGAAGAGGCAGGTGTGGGCTCAAGACAGGAGCCGAACCCTGTGCCCTGTCCCCAACGCCCTGCATCCTCATGCAGGAAAGGGGGACAGTAACAGGGTAACGAAGGAGGCCAGCACAGCATCACCGCTCAGCGAGGCTCGACAGGGAGGCAGCACATGGCAGAAGGTGGTGACGCTGCTCGGCCAGCAATGGGGCAGCCCACGCCGCAGGTGGGGACGGTGGGAGCGTTTGCTGTTTGGACTCAAGGCCAGCCTGGCTCATAGGTGGGGGCGGGCGGCTTTGTGAGCTGGGTGCATCCTCTGAACAGAAACATGCTTCCGTTTATTTTGGAAATGTGGGGGCTGTGGGGGTGAGGAGTGAAAGCTGACACCCTTTAGAGAAGCCTCTGCCAGTACACACGACCCAGTCATAAACACACTCAGGCAGGGACGGAAGTGACTCACTCGCCCAAGGTCACTCAGCAAGTCAGCCCCGGGGTCAGCAAAAATCAGTCTGCAACGACTCCCCCTGCCCAGTGCGGGCCTGGCCCAGGGGCAGCCGAGTGCAGGTCCTGCCTGGACTTCCTCAAGCATCTCCATGCCTGAATTAGAAGCCAGCGTCCAGTGGAGACAAGCCACTGCCACCCTTGGCTTGGCTCAGGAGGCTGCTCTGGGGACAGAAAAGACAAGGAGCCCAGCACCACGGGACAGGCCAAGCTGCAGAGGTGCACGGAGCACAGCCCAGGACAGCGTCACAGATGAGGAGCAAATGCAAGTCGGGCCGCGGCTCACAGGCCACCATGGATGACAGAAACGGGCCAGGCATAGCTTCAGCAATGAGAAAATACACTTCTAAGTTCTTTTAGGGAGGAACAGAACAGAACAAGCAGTTCCCACCCGTGTAGAACTTGCTGGAGCTGGTTAACAGTCCCATTTAAGGGGGGCTCTGCAACCCACCCCAGAATGACGATCCAGATGACTTCAGACAAAGACACCAAGGTGACCTGCACAGAGGTGACGATGCTCCCAGAAGTCCTCTCTCCCTCGTGGTGAAGGACGCAGCTTTGCTGAGGGTGGACAGCACCTACCCCTGAACATGCAGCAGGGCGGGCCCAGCCATCTGTCAGTCAAGGGACCACCCGGTCTGCAAACTGAGGCTGTCGCTGCAATGTAGGCATTGACGGGATGCCCTGCTCGCCACCAAGTCCCCACCCCTCGGGCCACTTCTCTTTCCACTCTCCCAAATCCACAAGGCCCTCCTCAAAAGGGCCAAATGCAGGACAGGTGCCATCAGGCTGTGAAGACTCATGGGACACTCATAAAGACCCCACACCAGGGGCAGAGGACGG